GGTTCTTYGGGAAGTGAAGGGYGCTGTGTGGGATAACAAGGGAGAGTGAGGGAGAAGAGAGAGATGTACCTGGTGGAGAGGAGGTCGGCATTGGTGTTGACGTCATCACTCGCTGGTCGTCAAGTTGTCTGGTTGCTTCCATGCTGTAGTCGTAGTGTTAGGCTGTAGAGTAGATAGGGCGCCTGGTGCCGTTCAAGAGAGAGAGCTACATTGGGTTATGCTGTTGGTGTTGCCCGATTGGGCTTGGACATTGACTCACGATTCTTCTGTATCGTTCTCAAATGGATGGTTACTCGGTTCCATTGTGCTATCTGCTCTTGCTTTGACTACTTGGACTTCAGTGTGATTTTGCAATTTGGATTTCTGTGCTTTTTCACATTCATTTTCCTTGCATTTTGGTATCGGAGCTGGTTCGATTCGCTGCTTACCTTGGTGCGCTGGCGTTATACAGACTTGGTGCGTTGACGATGCTTCTTCGCAGTTGGTTCTTGTGACGTCAGGCCGATATTAGGCGCACGATCTGGGTAGAGAGGTGTGCGCCGGAAGGCTGTACGGCTTGGGATGCCGTGGTGACGGCAGAATGTATGATTGGTGATGAGAGCATGCTGATGTGGCATTTGGCTGAGGTGGCACTGCATTGCGTTGTGGGTAGTACCGAGGCTGTGACCGGTCATCAAATGCACACTCAGCTCAATTGGTGAGAAATCTGTGGTTGGGGGCAGCTATCTCCAGGTATGTTGTTCCCTTACCTTATCTACCCTCTCAATCTCTTCTTACCGCGAGGAAGTGAGTCCAACTTGAGAGTCCTCTCTTTTGGTGAGGTGTCGTGAGCGCTCTACCTTGAGAGACGACAATCTTCCCGGTGGCGCATCTGGAAGGAGAAAGGGCGGTGCCTCTGAAGGGCCCTGGTCGAAGCACGTGGGTCACGGTCACCGTGCCAACCCAATGGGATTAGTACATGCATGCGATGGCTGCTTTGTCCATGAGGGAACTTTTGTTGCGCTGATAGAGGGGTGTGCGGACTGAACAGGCTTATGCAGACGCTCCCAGACCATCTATAAACATTTCTGGATGCGGTTCCGATCTGATAACTGGCTGTGATCGTCGTCCTGATTGCGACGTTAAATAATTCCTGAGCGACCTTGGGGGCAGTCCTTAAATAGGCGTCTTGATCAGCCAGATCAGTCGGACGTACGGCTCGTTGCACGCGAGGATAAAGAATGGGCAAGCCTGGTCATAAGCATGCACCTGGGGCATAGGGGTGGACCGACATTGCACACCTATGACACTGCTGCTCAATGATGCTCATCGGTATGTTGGATTGAGGGGAGGGTAGGTTCTAATTGGTGCTCAACTGTAAACACAACCATATCCACTGTTCATGCATCTGCAACATAGTTTAGTTTTATTGTTGATTAGTTGGTTGACAGACTGCTAACACCTCACAGACTATTTAGTGTAGAACTGTTGTATACTACCATAGCCAGTTCTATGCAAAACTTCTGTAAGTGAACTAATCATGATATAGCTAGATTATGTTTACGGTCTTTTGTGAATGTTGTAGGCTGCCACTTGATCGGTTGAGTAGGGGACCTGCCGGACACATTTATTTTTAGAAAATTAGGTGCCAGTCAGACACATGTTGTGGTAGGACTCCAGCAGGGAGTTGTAGTGCAGATACTGTTTGCCTAGCTGATGAGTGGGTCAGACACCGATGAGGGTAGAGTTGAGGATGCGAGGCTGACACGTTCGAGATCACTAAGGGTCCCGCGCGTGTTTCAGGCCCTACAGCCTGGAGATGAGAGACGGCTTCGTGCCGAAGTTAGAGCCCGTGCTCTCGCAGCAGCCAGGGAGACAACACTAGCTGCAAGTCAGGCGTTGGCAGTAGCAAACGCCGCAGCTAGGGAACAGGCAGCAGCAGCCAGCGCAGCAGCTATGGCTAACGCTGCAGCCACTGCTGCATCCTCGTCTGGGACCCTGTTGGGAATGCCCTCAGGGCCCACGGGTACTTCCGGGTCAGTAGGTTCTAGTCAGTCCACAAGTCAAATGGCGGGCTCACAGTTTAGTCCGTTGACCCCACGCGGTAGGGAGCTACTAGAGCTTCAACAAGTCGACAGGATCCGCGCTCGGTTAGAGAGGGAACTGAAGCAAGCTACCGACAGAGAAAAAGAGATCAAAAATAGAACAGCCAGGCTTGATACGTTAGAGGCAGACAAAGCTGCATTAGAGGGTTTGGATGAGTTAGCCATGACTGACCAAATGAAAGTATTGAAGGCCAGCATACTGTCGCTGCATGCGCATGTGGACAGCAGGGTGAATTTCATGCAGAACTCTTTGGACTAAATCTTGGACCTTTTGCAAAGGCCAGGATTACGGCCAGCAGCACAGTCGTCGTTGCCGTTAACGGCGATGTCAGGCCCCTTTCCGGTACAAGCTGGCACACAGCCAAGTGGTACGTCTGCAGCAGCCGAATAGACTGTTGCTTCTTCTTCTTCTGGTCCAGCGGTTGGAGCTACACCACAGCCACAACAAAATGTTCCACCATAGGGACAGCAGCAAGGTCAATGGTACCCAAAGACCCCAATGAAACCGCCCCTTGCCTTCTCCGGTGAGAAGAAGGGCGAGGAACTCAACACTTGGTTGAGAACGGTTCCAATGTGGGTAAGGGCAAAGAGGACTTTGCAGGAGGAGGAGGTGATTACTGCTGCATCTTACCTTGAGGGTAAGGCAGCCAAATGGCTAGATGGAATAGTAGCGAAGGCCGGGTACGGACGACGCATGGCAGATTGGGGTAAGACCCTTACATTAGAAGAGTTCTTAGATATGGTAGAAGCCCGCTGGCATAATCCGCAGCAGGCACAAATTGCCACTGACGCGATGCTGAGACTGGACCAGAGAAAGTACAAGTCAGTCAGAGAGCTAACGACTACCGTAGAGAACCTCATCGTCATACCCGGTATACGCTATGATGACCAGGTCTTATTGACCATGTTTCTGAGATGTCTGCCCGAGAATCTCATAAATTTGCTGGCCAGCGAGGCTCGCCTCGAGTATCATTCGTTTGAGACCTTCTCAAGAAAGGCCTTAGACTTAGAGGCTACTCTAGGAAGTGCGGGAGGAAGAAGAAGAATCCACATGAATGGAAGAAGAAGGGTAGTAGATTGATGATGGTTGAGTCCGATGAGACCCAAACTGAAATCGAAGAGCTTACCGACCTGATGGACGTTTCAGAGCACGATGGCGAGGAAGTCGCTGAGGGTAGCACCCTCGCCGCAGTTGTAAAGACTAAGGCAGGTAGCCGAGGGAAGGGTCATCAAAAGAGTCAAGGGCAGGCCGCCTCCTATCAAGCCAAATTTGTTGACTGGGTCAAGGCAGGTCTTGATCAGGAAGTGTGGCGGGACCGCCGAGTGCGTGGTGCTTGCATGAACTGTGGGGAATACGGACACACCCAGTACAAGTGCAAGAACGCAAAGGTCACGCAGAAGATACCCCCTAAGGGTGGGGTACCTTCTTCCCAGGCTTCTAGCTCGGGAAACATGTGAGGCCAGTGGAAGTTTTAGCTGTTTCTACTCATGGTGAAGTGGGCCAGATACCCTCCCCACTTCATGAGAAGGCCATAGCTAATGACTCTTTAGTCACCCTGCAGACTCATTCAGACCAAACTATGCTCTGTACGTTGGATGTGTCTGAAGCCTTAAAAGATTTAGAAAGTGAGTGGTCAAGCAAGGACCCTCGCGAATCTCGGGTGGCACTAAGTAGAGGTCCTAGAGGGGAACATTTCATTGTGGAAGTTGATGTAGGAGGCCGCAAATGTGGTGCCTTCGTAGACATCGGCTCCACACAAAATTACATAAGTCACGACTGTTTGGAAAGGATGCACCTAAAGGACCGGGTACAACACCTTAGTAGACCGGTAACATCTACTTTGGCCAATAAGGAGCGCATGGTTGTCACAAACTATGTCAAGGATGTAGTCTGCACCTTCTCCTATGGAGGAGGGGAACTTAATCACAAGATTTCGTTCCTGGTTAGCGACGACTTACCATTTGATATGCTATGCTGTTAGGAATGTACTACCTTGAGGTTGCTAAGCCCCAGTTTGACTGGGACAAGAAGGTGCTAAAGCATAAGTTGCAGGATGGAAGGACCGTGAGACTGGCCAAGTATAAGGCTAGTAGCTTAATAGAATCCTATGGCTGCTTGTGCGCATCAGCGTTCTACAATTATTATAAACAGAACCAAGAGGAGGGTATGTACCTAGTGTATGTCTCTGAGAAAGGGGAGGCCGTTAAAACACCCCCAGAGATAGAACACGTCGTTGCTAAGTTCCCTGATCTGTTTGAGGAGCCTACAAGAGTCGTAGAAAAGGGAGATCGTTCATGCCATAGAAATCATTCCAGGGAGTAAAACCCCAAAGGGAAGGATCTATAGGATGGCTCCGGCCGAGTTGGACGAGCTTCGGCGACAACTGAAAGAGCTTACAGAGAAGGGTTGGATACGGCCAAGCACTTCCCCCTTTGGATCTCCAGTGCTGTTTGTACCGAAGAAGGGGGTAACATTGAGGATGTGCATTGATTATAGAGGCCTCAATGCCATCACGGTGAAAAACGCAGAGCCTCTACCTCGCATAGACGACCTATTGGATAGGGTGCAGGGATGTAAGTACTATAGCAAGATAGACTTAAAGTCCGACTACCATCTGATTGCTATAAGACCTGAGGATCAACACAAAACTGCATTTTAGACCAGATACGGTCTGTACGAGTTTGTGGTGATGCCCTTTGGCCTTTCTAATGCGCCGGGTACATTCCAGCACGCCATGAATAGGATCTTCCATAAATTGGCCTTTGTAATGCGCCGGGTACATTCCAGCACGCCATTGAGTTGAGACTGTACTTTCACTCTTGCGATAGCACAAGTATAAGGTCAACCTAGAGAAATGTGAGTTTGGACGCACTAGGATCTCGTACTTGAGTCATGAAGGAATTGGGCCGGAAGATGCGAAAGTGGCTAGTATCAGGGACTGGCCACGACCTCAAACTGTCACTGAGGTCAGATCTTTCTTAGGTATGTGCGGCTACTATAGGAACTTCGTGAAGAACTATTCCACAGTCGCCTCTCCTTTGACTGATCTAACTCGACTTGACACACCGTGGGACTGGAGTGATGAGTGCGAGGCTGCTTTCAATGGATTGAAGCATGCACTCATGAATCATGAGGTTCTCATGGTGCCCGATCCTCAGAAGCCTTTCATTGTGACCACTGACGCAAGCCAATATGGCATTGGCGCAGTGCTGGCTCAGCAGGATGGGAAGAAGTTGAGACCGATTGAGTACATGAGCAAGAAAATGCCATCAAAGAAACTAGCAAAGTCCACCTACGAAAGGGAACTCTATGCTCTCTACAAGGCGCTTGTCAATTGGAGGCACTTTCTATTGGGACGGTTCTTCTATTTGAGAACTGACCATCAGACCCTTAAATGGATCAAGACTCAACCGTCTCTTTCTGATGCACTCAAGCGCTGGATTGAGGTCATAGATCAGTATGACTTCAAGCTAGAGTATTTGAAGGGAGAGTATAACAAGGTTGCAGATGCGCTGTCACGTAGGGCAGACTACCTAGGGGCACTAGTTTCTGAGTTAGGTGTATCTAAGGAAGCAACTCAATCGTAGGTGGGAGCCTATCAGGAAGACCCTGCCACGATGGACATCATACGCAAACTTCAGGCAAAAGATAAGGCCACAGAAGATGAGTTTGTGATGGTGGACGGGTTACTCTTTCTTGATAAGGCCAGGTGTAAAAGATTAGCGGTACCATCTAGAGAGAGTTTGCGCAGTTTATTTCTAGGGGAATGTCATGACGCAACTGGACACTTTGGCTACAAAAAGACAAGTGCCAATCTAGTACAGCGATTTTGGTGGCCCGGAATGCTAGATGATGCAAAGAAGTATGTGGAAACCTGTCAGGTCTGTCAGCGGGACAAGCCACGAACTCAAGCACCGCTTGGGTTGCTGAAGCCCTTACCAATCCCCACTGGTCCGGGACAGAGTGTTTCCATGGATTTCATGGACACCCTGGTGACCAGTAGGAGTGGCAAGAGGCACTTCTTTGTCATCATTGACCGATTCACCACGTACGCTAGACTAACAGCCATGCCAGAGACTGCAAGGACTGAACACATCATTAAGTTGTTTATGGACAACTGGGTGCGTGATTTTGGACTTCCAAAGTCAATCGTTAGTGATAGAGATGTTCGCTTCACAAGTGAGTTGTGGAAGAAGACAGCTGAGCAATTGGGCAGTCAACTTCAGATGACTTCCGGGAATCACCCCGAAGCCAACGGACAGGCCGAGCAGATGAACAGAGTTGTACAACACCTGCTGTGGCATTACATCAAGCCCAGCCAGGATGACTGGGATGAGAAATTGCCTCTCATCGCCAGCCTGTACAACAACGCTGTACACAGCAGTACCGGCGTCAGTCCCAACCAGCTGCACTTGGGATGGAAGCCTAGATCAGCTCTGGACTTCCTCCTACCTGAGAACTGACCCTCTGCAACTCCCGGCACACTTGAATATGGTGTGCAGTATGAGAAGTTGCTACAACAAGCTGTCGAGCACATCAGGAAATCTCAGCAAGCAATGATTGCTTCTGAGAACAAACATCGTCGACAGTCCTTTCAGGTAGGGGAACGTGTCTGGGTCAAGGCTAGTGAGCTAGGACAGGAATTCAAAATCTCTCGAAAACTAATGCCTCAGTATTTTGGTCCATGGGAAGTCCTGGACATAATTGGAGATGAGATGGATGGTCCTACCTATGTTATCCCGTATCCCTGGACACCTACGCACTCACCCAGTCTTTCATGCCTCAAAGCTTGCACCTTTCGCTGAGACAGATCAATTCCCTTCAAGGAGATCGATGTTGCCCCCTACCATGGATGGCCAAGTGGACATCGACGACATTGTGGATCACAGAGACCTGCCTGTTCCAAAGCCACTGGGTCGAGGAAGACCTCCCAAACCCAAGAGAGAATATCGCGTCAGATTCAGGCATCATACGGATCCAAAAGAGGATCGGTGATTCACCAGAGAGGAACTGATTGACACAGCTCCTCAAGTGGTGGCATAATATGAGAGGATGTTAAAAGGGAAGGCACCTGCGAAGTAAGCATCTCAGCGGACTTTCAAAGCTAAGGGGGATGGAATGTGAGGATTGAGCCCTCAAAGGGGCCTTGCCGTGATGTACATGTTCTGGGCTAAGGCCCCAGCAAGCCTCGTGCCCGCCCTAAGTGAAGGCGGGCCAGCAAATCAACGAGAGCCCCTTTGTTCAAACATTTCACGAAGTGGGGTCCATRCAGTTGCCGCACGCCAGTTGGTTGGAGTGCACCGAGTACGGGATCTCTGCAAATGCAGAAAGACCAGGGCCCCAKRATTGRTTASGCCCTGGGCACATAAACGTGAGGCCGACATTGCATGYTGGATATAGAGGCYGAAAATGCCAATGGGAAACCGGTCCACTATCTGAATCYGGACRCAGGCTTTGATGAAAGAGGCRCAACTGTATTTCGTGGGCCCCAACCGCATTGGGCCTGGGTACAGGTACTGGGGCCCAGGSGCAGGCTCAAGGGAGGCCGCCCACAYGCAACACTGGCATWTRGGCAGAGAGGGCGAGTGGGCAGGGAGCTGGSCCATTGCGAGCAATGYYGGCACGCTGAAGCACTGCSAGGTGCTGCGCTGGTACTGCGCTACGCWAGGCTGAGGTAGAGGCAGGCTGGCGCTRAGYGGTAGGSCGCAGCCTGGGCGCAGGGYGCTGGCRGCCATAGCCGGGCTGCCTGTGGGCGCAGAGGAGGTGAAGGGCGAAGGTGGTTCTTYGGGAAGTGAAGGGYGCTGTGTGGGATAACAAGGGAGAGTGAGGGAGAAGAGAGAGATGTACCTGGTGGAGAGGAGGTCGGCATTGGTGTTGACGTCATCACTCGCTGGTCGTCAAGTTGTCTGGTTTCTTCCATGCTGTAGTCGTAGTGTTAGGCTGTAGAGTAGATAGGGCGCCTGGTGCCGTTCCAGCGAGAGAGCTACATTGGGTTATGCTGTTGGTGTTGCCCGATTGGGCTTGGACATATCGTTCTCAAATGGATGGTTACTTGGTTCCATTGTGCTATCTGCTCTTGCTTTGACTACTTGGACTTCAGTGTGATTTTGCAATTTGGATTTCTGTGCTTCATCCACATTCATGTTCCTTGCAATTGGGGCTGTTGTGGGGAAAATCCAAAACACACACACACACACACACACACACACATAGACACACACACACATTAGTTTTGTTGATTATACACGGCCTAATTCTTTGCCCTGCTTTAGAGCATGGGCTGTTTGTATGTTTATGGGTGGCCACGAGTTCTCTTTGGGGGGAATGTATGTTTTGTGGGCTGGCGTGGAAGGCTTTCCCAGTTTTTTCGGACCCTCAGCAGGGGGGGTCGGTGCGTTCTTGCTGGAGGAGTCTTCTGTCTTAGGTAAGTTGTCTCTTATCTTCTTCCTCCTCTTTGGCAATGACGCAAATGTGTAGTTTGAGATGAATGTCGGAAATGCCAATGCTGTTATATTTGTTTGTTTTTGATAAGTGAGTTTTTGGTTTCGTGGGCCGATGAGGAAGGCTCTCCAAGTTTTTTTGGACCTTTGAGAGGGTCGGGTCGGTGCCTTCTTGCTGGAGTAGTCTTCTGTCTTAGGTAAGTTGCCTTCTGCCCTCCATCCCCTTGTGGTTTGAAATATATATGTATACAT